ATCCATCCATCCATCCATCCATCCATCCATCCATCCATCCATCCATCCATCCATCCATCCATCCATCCATCCATCCATCCATCCATCTTCTTATTTCCCTATGCATACATGTTGCACCTAATGAAATACCTCTAAAACCCATTTATTGTATTTGTTAGAAATGAACAAATATGCAGAATTCATGCATAAACGCATGGATTGGAAAGGATGCCATACCATACCGGTCCTAAAGCACTGCAGTGACCCAGAAAGAGCTAAGAGAACAAACTGCTGCTAAGGGGGCTCATATACGCATCATCAGCTGGTCTATTATCACAGCTTAAACAAACTTGTGATGGTATGATTTCTTTTTTTTGTGGAACATTGCTCAAGGATTATCCTAACCGGCATAATCTTTGCCCTTGACTGGATCAAAACTAAGCCGTGTTGACATCTCTAACTTCCTCATCTCTTATTAATTTACTCCCCCATATTTTTTCCAGTATCTCCTGCATTTCACCATCTCCCTCCCTTAGTCTCTGTTATTTCCTCTCTTCTCACCTCCTCCCTGGAAATCTAAAATACGAAGGACAGGGTCAGCTGCACACTAAAACCAGAGTGATAATGAGACTAACCCTAAGTAATTTTTGCTGACTTTTATAGAAGACACACAATTAGCTGGCACAACCACACTAACACACTGGAAAGGGTCAAATACCTGGTGAAGCAAAACCTCCATCACTGCTTAAATCATAGGTAATAATGAGAGGCTACCAACCATTAAGTTTCAGCTGGTTGGTCTTCATCAGGTTTAGTGAGCTAACAGCAAACATGTATTTCAATAAGTGAATTTGTTGTGAGAAAAATAAACTGTCCACAAAATGTGATAGAAAGAGGTGTTTAACCAATAGAGATTGCTGCGGCCTTGAGACAGATGTTAAGCAAACTCTTCAAATTGGATAAGTCACAGCTTCAAGATGCTCCACACACATAGCTACGTATCTTTTAAGTTAAGGGCAATTAGAGGAATAGGAGGTGTGAAAAATCAGTTTTACTTCTTCATACCCCTTATCAGAATATTTACATTAATCAATGTCTTTTCTATGGCTGTATATACTGACAGGTTTATTTGGTAGAGGGTTTTGTTTCTATTTATGTTCAATTAATGAATTTAGTTAGTTTGGAAATTGGTGTTTGGTTTGGTTGATGTTTATTAGTCTTTTTGTGTGTATTTGGTTGATTTATTTATTGTTGTTTTTAAAATTGTCTGTCTGAAATAACTTCCTGCTCATTCCTTAATTAATTAATTCATAGGACATGGATAACTGCTGTTAGCTTATGGTATCAAGCCACTCCTGCTAATGGGAAAAATAATCGGACTGTTGTTCAGTGCTCTTCTTATTGAATTTTCGATTTGTTAGAAATACCTCCCTGAGTCTGATGGATGAATGGATAGGCACAGAATCCAAGTTGTTTTGTGTTTATTCTGAGCTGTCTACAACCATTGATGCTATGGCAACCGTGTTATCATCAGTGTTGTGACTCCTCATTTTTAATTTGTCAAGATCCAGGCATCAGGTCTAAATGGTGCTAAGAATTGAAACTCATCTAAAAACAATCTAAAGCTGTAGTTGGTTTATCAGTTATAAGACTACTGAATCCCTTTCATATATAGAATTTGAAAATTTGCATCAGTAAAAGCAACAGTAATGGGCTTCAAGGTCATGTTAGTCTTGCAGAATGGGACCCATTGGAAGTGAAAAATTCATTTAAAGGAAGGACAATATATAGCTGAAGTGAGGGCTGAAATAGCTACAATTGTAACCACAAATTGTAGGTTCTGGACATTATTACGCTTTCAGATGCAACTTACAATGCACAATTATTTTATTTTTTTTACAAAAATCAAAAGGTCAGTAGTCTTCGTTTGTTTTATATCTCTGCAGCTAGAATGTTTTATGAAGTAGAAAATCCTCCCCTTTAAAAAAGACACAGTTTAACTGCACCGAATGTTGGCTGGAAGGACACAGAGCTGATCATTTATTTCAGCTCCATAACATGGTTATAAGAATCTAGAAATAATGTCTTAAGCGCTGTCTACTTTCCTTTTATCCTTTGTCTATTTTTTAACAAGACATAAAATGTCCAACACATGTATGAACAATGAGCTTTACTTACCTCAAACTTTTGAAGCCCTGTGCTTCCTGCATTTGCAACAAATATGCCCGAGTTGTGTGAAAAGGTGAGTCTCTCTGGCCTCCGCTGGAAAGTCACCAACTTAGCTTCACCACAGTCCATGTAAAGACGCACTTCATTATGCTCCACCGCCAACTGCATCAGGAGAAAGCTATTTATTAGAAATATATCTTATGTTTTTTTTTTTAAATCATACATTAATTGTTGTTTTGTTAAATTAATTTCACTACAATGTTTTGGCAAAGAAACTGCTTAGAACTCTCCAGCACTTTTTTATCTTTGTAATGTGCACCCAAAAATAATACGAGCATAAAGGTAAAACTGAATAAAATCTTAGCTCAAAAAGCCAAAAGATAAGGATCCAAGATATAAACAGCAAATTTTGTTGTAATTTTCATCCTCTTAAATTGAGTGTGTATGGATTAAGGAAAGAACCTGACAAACCTAAAGGATAAAAGTTAAAAAAACGTAAAAGAAGAACTGAACAAGTGGATTTTTTTTTTATGGATTGTTATCATTATAAAGGAAAAGCCTCAGCCAGCGACCCACCGTGAACCGTGTCCACTGCCCAGTCATGTCTGGGACACTGAAAGCAGCAGCTTTGTGGCTATGAGAGGCCTGTTCTTTGTCAGTGTAGTACAATAAGATGCTCTGGAGGCCTTTATGAACTGCAGTGAGGGCCAAACCGAGCTCCACAACCTTCTGATGAGCATCTGTGAAGGCAAAAAGAACGCCTCCTCTCTGATTTGCTGGACGCACCTAAAGAGATGGAAAGAGTGAGGCCATTAGAGAAAATACTTGTAAAAAGGGTATATCAGGAATGTCGGGTTGTACAGACAACTAATAGATTATAGTAAGTGTTGAACATCTTAAAGTTTGACATTTTTTCTGTTCTTCTGAGCAACAGCAGTATCTTTTAAATGATTAAAACTCAGAAATCCCACTAATCCGTTGGAATTGAAAGTTACATGAAAATGTAAATTTACATATAATGTTGTAGACCAACCAACCAGCTATACACTTTTTTATTTAACTTTTTAAAATAATAATTTGAAGAGCATGCTCTTCTTTAGCTTCTTTAACACTCCTAAATATAATCCAACTAATTTCCCTTGGCTATGATCAAATAAGACCATATGGTGATTTTTGGTCTATGTGCTGAACAATATTTAGAGTGGAAACAATGCGCATTGTAAAAAATGTCAATTTCAGGGACATATTCCAAAGATTTTAGAAAAAGTTATTTTATAAGAACACAAATGTATGTCACACTTTTCAGATTTCTGCTTGTAAAACATATTTTATGTATTGATCACTATTATGGGCTCCTTAGTGTTGGTCTGTTATATAAAGTTGCATTAAAATACTTTTCTTTGGACAGCTGTAATATTAAACAATATGATAAATTTAAAATGAGGTCATACAGGATTTCTCAAATCACTTAACTAAAAACTGAAAATAGATCAGCCCTATGATGACCGCTCTCAATGGCAGTACAAATACTTTTTAAAGAATGTTGCGTTCTTTTCAGCACCGTGACAATAATGGCAAAGTCCCTGTAGAAAGGTCCGGGCACAAAGGTTCTCGTGAGTCGGCCAACGTTGGCTTCGCTTCCAAAGCTGTAGGCTGGGAATGCTTCAAATCCAGGGGTGAAGGAGACAGCAGGAGGGAGAGGGATACCGATCAAATCCATCAGGTCCAGATGATTTCCTGAGCCATTGTCTGACAAATACAACAAAAAAGCAAAAGGTCAAGAGTACAACACTAAATTGAAACACAGCAGATATTACTGAACCACTTAACACATGTTGGTGCCTCACTAACTGCTCAGTGGGGAGAGGATAAGTACATCCTTTATTTCAGGTAAAGAAGTAGATAACTCCTATTGCATTAAATTTCTAGCAGATCCCTATCCCTGTCTTGGTAGTTTTTCCCAGCATGTTGGATTAAAGAGCAGAGGTACATACGAATCATCCTGACACGGCTTTAATTTGGACTGATTTGATCCAGACTAGTGCCTACGCATCACTGCCCTGCCTCACATGGACATAATCCCTTGAAACAGAAAAGTGCACCCAGTGTTTGGCAATTAGAGTATTTAGTGTGCATGTGCAGAGATGGCCTCACATTCCCATGATTCTCTTTCGATGGAGCCTGTCTCCCATAGTAACAAAATCAGCATTCCAGCCAGGCTACCCCCTTCAACTTATATTTGTATCATATGCACAAACACACAGAGGCACACAAAAACACCCACGTTCTAGAAAGCACACAAAGGCCGGGCCAGACCAGACAGGCCAACTTTCGGGGGTCTCTAATTCATCAGTCAGACCAACTGGAAACAAGCTTGATTAGAGGTTTGGGGTTGGATGTTTGTGGGTGGATGAGCTTCTGTGCACCCTTCACACAACTAAAAGGACGACCTTTCCATATTTAAAAGTTTAATGTTTCCAATAGAGGTGGGGGGTACAAACAGAGTCTAAATATATAAACTAAACACTCTAAAAGCCTCACTCCTCCAGTCCAGATGTGCAAGGCTTGGACCCTTGTAACGGCCAAAAGGAGCAGATGAACTCCGAGAGACCTTAAATTATAATCATATTTCAAGTCTGTTCCTCTGCTCCGAAATTAGCAATGAAAGTCATTGAGTAAATATTTTTATTTAATTCAATTCAGTTTATTTCTATAGTGCCAATTCACAACACATGTTATCTCAAGGCACTTTACATTTCACCAGTTCATCCAGTCAAATTGTTAAAACTTTTCTATCTAAGGAAAACCAGTTGATTGCATCGACTCATTGACTCGAATGCAAGCCTTCACACTAAGCATGCTTGTAGCGACAGTGGAGAGGAAAAACTCCCTTTCAACAGGAAGAAACCTCCAGCAGAGCCAGGCTCAGTGTGAGCGGCCATCTGCTGCTCACATTGAGAGGATGAAAAGATGGAAGCTGAAGTGGTTTTCTTGCAGATTTAATAACAAAAAGGAGGCAACTGAAGCACAAAAAATAACCAAAAACCAGAAGACATCAGGAAAAACACACATGACGAGCAAAGAATTGACGTGGAACCAGCAAACAGTATCTGAAGAGGAGTATAAATGGGAGACTGAACAAAGACTGGGCTAATTAGCAGATGAGGAACAGGTATGGATGGAAGTATCTAGAATGGAGCTATGTGAAGGAGGATTAACAAGAAATACATAAGAACTCAAATACTACCAAAAACAACTTGAATAACACAAACTGGAAATAAAACCAATTAAAATAATTTAAAAGAAAACTTAAAAATGACCAAAACCATTACAGAAATGTCCAGGGATCAAATCATTAGGAAGGAGACAGGCTCTGTGTCCCTGAAGTGAAGAGGTGTTGCTGATAAGTGTTATATCCACAATTAAACAAGTTCTGTGCTGACATGGGCTGGCAGGAAACACATTAAGAAGCCATTACTTCAAAAGCAGCATAACAAAGGCAGAACAGTGTTTAAATACTCACAGGGTCAAATACTTTAAGTCTTTGAGTCATGTCCTGTGGTCTGATGACCACTGAACAATTTGGAGGAAAAATAGTAAAGCTCACAATCCTGCAAACCTCATCTCAGCTGTTAAATATGTGGATAATGGTGCCATTTTTACAGGGAGGCCCTCTGCAGCCACCATTAGATGAAGAGAAATATAATTAGGAAATATGGAAGCATCATTTCCAAATGTTCCTTAAAGCAAAAAAAAAAGAAAGAAAGAAATCCTTGATAGTAATCGATTCAGTTTCTTTTACTGTTTTGCTGCAAACAAAGCAACTTAATCTGTCACTAGTCTAATTACAAATTTGGGGTCAGGCTCTCCCCTTCCCAGTCCCGCCTCCTTCAGCTAATCCTTGTCATGTTGACCACATGAAAGCTTATATCAGCTTGTTGAGTCTTGTAAAAACTAATATCACTAACTCCCTCAGTGTCTCCATCAATAACCTTTTAATCCCTCTTTGACCCAGGCTGCCACATAAAAGCTTCCAGCTGTCTAATCCCCCCCCGCCTTCCTTTAGATTTCTTTGAGTCTACAAACTTAGCTCATGCTATTTTAATGGTACAAATTCCCATACCTCACATACTCTTAGGTTATGCCTTGAATTATGGAACACACTAGAAAAATCCTAACATGTTATGCATTATGAACACAATATGATATTTGCAGAACATTTGATGTTATTCTGCTGGACCTCTGAATAGGCTCTATGCACAGCTCCACTACTTCCTGAATTTAATGCAGCTCCTTTGTTTCCTGTCTTTCATGATTGGATGCACTGGTTAATCCAGGTGTGTATGACCTAAGTAACTGGCCAGACACACCTGGATTAATCAGTTCGTCTAGTCATGAAAGACAGGAAACAAAGGAGCTGCCTTAAATTCAGGAAGTAGTGGAGCTGTGCATAGAGCCCATTGTTATTGTGAGCTGAGCAAGAAAAAAAAGTTAGCATGAGGTAGATAATTTCCATAATTTATCCATAATCCATAATCCCATTAATTTCCATAATAGTTTCTTCTTCCTCACTGCTATTAGACTGCTGAATGTTGTGTAAAATGGATTATTTTATTTATAAAAATTAATTAATGTTAGAACTGTAAATATACAGTCATATGTTTTCATATTTATTACTGTTTTCAAGGCTGCATCTTAAAAAATGAAATTGTTTAGAGCTGTTTTAAATGAATTTTTGTATATACTTGTGTATACAAAATGACAAAAATAAATCTGTCTAAGTCTAATTCTAGATGGACAAAATCAAGAATGTTATAATTGGTGTCCCAGGTTGCAGCTGCCTTTGGTAAGTTACAACAAGTGCACTGAAAAAAATCAGCCTCTGATATGTGGGATACAATGCTGTTACATATTTATATTTTAATAAGTACTCATTTGTGTTATTATGCTGAAGTTACAATTGTTGAATCTTATGGCAAAACTACACAGCTGTTTTAAGTATTTTTTTGCTTCTTTACGTATTTCTGTTATTCACTTTTTAATATCATAAGGCTTAAAAGTATATCAAAAGATGAGCTTTGAAATTAAATTCCTTTATTAAGGGAATAAGCCATTCAAACCTGTGGGGAGCTATGTGAGCCAATAATCACCTACCATGATAAGTTATTACTCAGCTACCACTTTTTAAAAGTTGACTTCAGTTCACTAATGTCACCCAAGCCCCTACACTGTCAAACCAGAAAACAGTTGTCTGATAGCAACAGATAACAGATCTGAAATAACAATTAACAGTAGATGCCAGACAAACTCATCATTATCAGACTAGAAATCCATCCATTCATCTCATCCTGCTTATTCCATCAGGGTCACCGTAGGGCTGGTGCCTATCTCTGGCATTCTACTGTATGGGGAAGAGGTTGGGTATTCCCTGGATTGGCAGTCTGTCGTAGGGCAACATGGAGACATACAACCATCCACACACACATTCACACCTAGGGGCAATTTAGTGAAACCAATTGACCTAACAGTCATGTTTTTGGACTGTGGGAGAAAGCTGGAGTACACAGAGAAAAACCCACGCATGCACGGGGAGAACATGCAAACTCTATGCAGAAAGACCCGGGGCCGGGGATCGAACCTGAAACCTTCTTGCTGCAAGGCAGCAGGGCTACAAACTGTGTAGCCCCAATCTAGAAATGGATACAAAGTTATTTCTAAGTCTTTTTAGCTCCAATTAATTGCCTCATTTGCAATTATCCACAAATGGAGAAAGGATGGAGCAGTGGAGAACACCCCTATGAGAAAAAACAGGTCTTAAAAGGGCCCTTATTAAGAAAGGTCACAGAGAAACCAAGATCTAAAATTAGCGTTTTTGTTTGACAGAAAGTAAGAGATTACAATAATGGCAACCATAGGAGATTTTCAACGTAAAAACCGCTGTTGATTGAAAACAAAAAGCAAACAAAACAACAGTGGGACAGTGAGTTGACAAGAAAAAGGTTCAGCTTTTTAAAAGATAAGACCTATAAACTCTGCTCTTTATTGTAATGACCATAAACCTAACCCCTCATGGGTTATGGTACGTGAAAGTGATCCATATCCCATCTGAAAGCCCTCCTCTGAATGACTCAGCAAAACATATAAAAGATTTTGAAGTGGTCCAATCAAGGTTCAAGCTTACATGCTATTGAGATGCCATGGCATGAGGTCAAATAGTTGTATCCTGCTCAAAAACACACCAATATGGCTTAAATGAGGGCAAGTCTGACTGTATTCTACATATGAATAGTTGCATCATTAATTTTTTTAACGAACATCATGGCAGTCAGGAGATACCTTCCTAACTTGGATGGTTTTCTTAAAAAAGGTGAAGGGATAGAAGCATGTATAGGAGGTAGAAGCTCCAATATGAGGCATTCGGAAGGAGCATTTTTTGCTTAAGTGTAATCAATGAGGGTCCTAGGAAGCAGCTGAGATAGTTTATTGTTTGAGTTGATGGTGCCCGTGTCAAATTGATGTTAAGTCTTACTGTAGTTCCTTTTCTTTAGGACACTGTATTATTCAGAAAAAAATGACTCCTGACTCCTTTTATCACTCACCACTCTTCCATTGTTTCAGTGGTTTCTTCTTGAACCAGCCTCTGTTACTTCCACTTGGGTTCCCAGCAGGAGACAATGTTAATGTTTTCATAGTGGTGAGGGAATCTAACTCCACTGAGCTGTGTGGAGTAGAGGACTGCATAGACCCCTCTAACTGAGTGCTCTCCACATCATTTGCAGTTATTATGTCCACTTTTCCCACTCCCCACTCTGAAGGTGTCCCCTGGGTCGTGGAAGGTTCCTTGGAGGTGACGGCTGGAGAGGTCAAGGTAGGAGGAACAGTGGTGGTCGTTGGTTTTACCCACCAGAAAGACAACCACTGAGTTTGCACAGGATTGGAGGCGAGGAAAAATAGTGTAAGGCAGATGTTAAAAGCTCCCATCCTCTATCTGCAGCAGGTCCAGATGAAAACACTCCAGCTGGTTAAACAAATACTACACAGAACCAGGAGCTATATTCCCATCTTCAACTGGTTATATGCAATTCATAACTCATAATTCTATAGAGTGAATATTCATGAGATATTTTCCAAAAGAATATTCCAAAACAAGTCCTTTTCTCTTTCCTTCTCCCCCTCCTCTCTTTGCAATGACTTACTTTTCTGTCACACTCTCTTGCTCTAACTAGAAGGTTTCCTCCCCTCCACACCTCCACGCTTATTTCTCCTTTTGTAATTTGCCTGTCGACTCCTCTAGAGGGCGGCAATATACTGCTGGCTTATTTTTTTTTCTCTTTTTATTGAGTTGAATTGAGTCATGTGGAAAAATCTGCACAACTATATGTAAAATGAAGTCTAATTGCATTTTTTAAGAAATGGGAGAAAACATTAACGTTAGAATTTAGAATATCAGACAAAATCTGACAAAATGGTTGAATATTATGTAAGAAAGGAATCTAAATCATATCCAACTAATATTTTCTTTGAAGAGAGAGAAAACCTGACATTTCTGTTTACTTTAATTAGATTCAAATAACAAAAGTTAGTTAGACCAGGGCTATTTCTTGAACCTTTGACTTTATGGATGTCATCAGTGTGTCATGTGTTAAAATATACTGAGGATTCCTAAATACTGAAATAAAACAAAACTGATTTTCAGTTTTTCCTTTGAGGAATACATAAGATTGGAACATTAGAGCTGAATAAAACATTTTTTTTTCCTGTGGCAAAACATTGAATGCAGTTATATTTAATCCATGATCCTTCTCTCTGCACCAGCTTAGCGATCACGCAGCAAATACGGGGGCCCCACTTGCAGACGATGACAAAGAGACGCTTGTTCTGTTGTATTGTGTTTCTCTAAATGTTTGCTGAGGTCCAAAATGAGGGTCCGGAGTGTTGCTGAACATTTGTCACTGAGTGGAAGTGTTTGTTTAGGCTGAGGTTTGATTGTGCGTCATTGTTAGGCTACTGTGGGAAAAATGTGGTGCCAACATGAAATTGGTTCAAAGTAAAAGTCAATTTAAATTCTGATGAGTGAGTGTTTTCCTTTCAAACTACTCTGGGTGCAAAAGGTAATCAATTAAATGGAAGCTCAAATAGGGAACTCTGCGCATAATTATTGACATACTGTCCCCTTAATGTTCTATCAAACTTAGTAGAGCAGCAGAGGCTTATCATTGGCAGAATTGTCCAAAAATAATAATAGTATATTGTTTGTGCTCTTTTTACTGAACTTTCAAAAATAAAAAAATCTGAAATATTTCAATCAGTTGCAATCAAATTTAAACCATTCAAACTGTAATAAAATAAGCCAGAACTAAGAAGAAAGACATTCATAATATTAGAATTTAAAATACCAATTTACAAATACAAGATTTTGGGATATTATATGTTCCTTCTGCTTTCTTTCTACATGTTGAGCCCATTAAAAGTTCTCAGAGTTCCAGGACAAAAACCATTCACCCTCACCTCTCATTTACTGGCTGCTGTACCTAGCAACCACCTAACAATAAACCCTAATTGGTTAAAGGTCACACAGCAAATCCAGCAGGGAATAAAAAGGCCAAAAGAAGAACATCGAGAAAACAAAATAATGATTTCATTGAACAGGAAATAAAATAAAATCCAGAGATAGTTCAAAGATGGGTTTGTTTAGAATTGAGTGTTAATAAAATATATAATTATTCTGGTAGGATGCTGGAGTATGCCATGCAACCGGAGGGTCGCTAGTTCAAATCCCAGTTCCTTCTGTCTCAGTTGTTGTATTCTTGGGTAAGACACTTCACCCGCCTTGTATATTGATGGTAGTCAGAAGGCCTAGCGGCGCCTGTGTTTGGCAGCCTCGTGTCTAACAGTCTGAATTAGGGCAGCTGTGGTTTCTTTCATGGTAGCTTCCCAACATCAGTGTGAATGTGTCAATGACCGAATGTAATATAAAGCTCTTTTTGAATTACTTCACTGGAAAAGTTGTTATATAAAAACAGGCCAATTTAAAAGAAATCTTCTGAAAAATATTCCAGATGTGTCTTGCACTATTTTATTGCACTATTGTAACCCGGCATAAGCCATATTGATACTGTGTAGAATTCAAATTGAACTACGTGGTATTGATCTGGAAAGTTTCATCTATAACTTGTGTGCAAAAGGGAGGGACTTCCATTACAATTCTTCAAGCTGATTGGGTACCTGCCTCCCATTGTTATCCAATCACAACAGCAGTAGGAGCTTTACTGGTTTCACTACTAGCAGAGTTTACTGATAAATCAAAGTTTTACCAAATCCATCCACAAAGGTAAAAATAACATCACTTTGCTTGTTTAAAAAAATTAAAAATAGACTGTATTCCAGCATGTTTAAAGAGGAATGCTAGCCCCCCCCCAAAAAAAACCTTGACGAAAAACAATATTGTGCAGCAAAGCTTCCTCTTCAGAGGATTTTTAAACAACAATAGAGCGTCTTCAGTAAGAGGCATCTCCAGATCCGGTGAAAGACAGACCACTACAAAAGATCCTTCCTGCCTACAGCTATCAACACCTGTTAAAAAAAATAACGTATGAGTTACTGCAACAATTAACTTCCCTTTGGGATTGATAAAAGTACTTTTGAATTGATTTGATTTGAATAGACACCAACCAGTAAGAAATGGACCAGGAGAAGCGGAGCACAGTTCCTCCTCTCTTGTAATCAAATCCTTTCATGATAAATGTTTTCATTTGAGAGTAACAATATCTCATATTCTTAAGTATAAAAGTAACATTACAATGTTAAGCTTTTAATCTAAATAAATAAAACTAAAAGTCTCAATTACAAAAAAAGAGCAATTTGCTGTATCAGGACTGAGCCCTTGACTGCACAATGAGTTGATTTAGCCATTTTTCAGGTGCGTTAAAGCAGATGCACATCTAAAAAGTCCAGATACCAGACCTTGAGGGCTAGATCAGATTTACAGGATCCGAGATTTTTGGATTTTAATTGGTTGGAAGGTAGCAGAAGGAGCGATTGTCCAGGTGGTCGGTCAGTTACTAATATTGCCAGTATCTTAGAAAAGTAGAAACTACTCCCAGTGATTTGATGAATTTTTACTTAATGTTAATTTTGTTATTACTAAATAAAAGTTGATTGGGAACTTTTTTAAATAACAACAAAATTTTATCAAGATAATCAAAGGTAACAGAGTCAATGTCATTATGTATTTAGATATGGGCAGGGTAGCTAAAATACACTCCAGTACTAAGAGTTGCATTGCTTCAATATTTATTTATATTGTATTATTGGAAGTTAAAAGCAAAGTAGGCATGCAAAGAAGAAAGAAAGAAGAAAAATCGGATGTAAAAGTAAAAAGCATGTGTACTGTTCAGTTATTACTATACTATACTGTACCGGTATTAAAATAGCATATATGCTTAGATGAGTATATGTAAAAAACAAATAATGTGAATAAAACATTAAAAACACATAAGATACGGGGGTTTGGAGCCTGTTGCTAAGTATAGAACTTTATCATCATAGGAGGTTTTTGAATTAAGTTGTGTCTTTATTTTATCTCATTTAGTCAACAGTAAAGTTGAACTGCTTAGGCCAAAATTTGCTCTTTTCTTAGCAACCCAGGACTCTTAGCCTGTCTCAATATGCAGGAATGCTTTTAAGCTGCTCTTATAAAAATATGCTTGAGCTTTAAGATTAGAGCCTAAACTTTACTTATCCGCAAGACTACATATAACTTTTCACACTGACATTTTGTAGGAGGAAATTTTCAAAGCAGATTCTTTAGATCATTTTTTATTATACTTTTCAAATACAGAAGTTTACATAGTCTCAGATCACTTTACCTTCAACAGAGATTGTGAAAATGGAAAAAAATGTATTTTGATGTTATTTGTTTTACTTTAAACTATGATTACTTGGGTAACCTCTTGGAAAAATCATAAGAATTGAGAAAAAAAAAAAAAAAAAATCAGCCATGGAGCTCAAACAGCCTGGTTCATCTCTGGGTAACTGGCCTGTCCTAATATAGTGCTTTTTCAAATCAGGAGAGTTCAAAGCACCCTACACCACATTTAGTCATTCACCATTTCACACACACTGATGGTGACAAGCTACATGGTAGTCACAGCTGCCCTGGGGCTACCTGACAGAAGCGAGGCTGCCGTACACTGGCGCCACTTCGATTTCAGGGCAAACTTCTACGGCATGCAGTTACAAAAACCATGGAATGCAGTTATGTCGAGGAAAGAAACTTAATCTACGCACAGAAATAATTTTTTTTGTTTGTTTTTAAAAATGTTGATAAACTAAATAACTAACCTAAATCAAACTACCTTGTGAAAATGTTAGCTGAAGTTACAAAGAGAGAAACTTGTCAACCACAGGAAAGTTAGTTGCCAGTTAAGTAAAGTTTGAGAAAAGAGAAAAACGTGTGTAAGCATGAGAAAATTTTAGGTGTAAAGCATGAAAGGGGCTCCATCATCATGTGTGGATGTTTTGCTGCTGGACTGATACTTAAGGACATCAAAGTATATATTTTATCAAAAATTCTAAATTTCAATCCCAAAAAAAAATGGTATTTGATAAAAGGTAATCTTGACTTGACTCAGGCAGGAGTCAGAAATTTTTTTTTCAAAATTAGCAAAAACTTAGATACAAGCAAAAAAAATATATATCTCTATTTTTCTGGCATTTATGAAGCAATAATAATAATAATAAAAAAAGCTTCTAACTTCAATGGAAGACAATGAAAGTCTTTTTCACATGTCCTAATCTCTGTCGCCATCTGGTGGTAAATTTCGATAACACTGTGAAAAGAAGACAGGTTTAAGAGTTTGGATAACACAATGTAACAGAGAATTTCTCTGTTACATTGTGTTATCAATGAACAGTAAGGTTTTATTTCTCTGAGAGAAATAAAACCTTACTGTTCATTGGTTTCAAAGTAATCAGTTAACCGATGACTGCATAGATATAGCCAAAGGGCAGCCATAGAGAAAGATGCCTGGGTGTTACATCCATCATGGACAACACCTTTCAACTAATGAGATATATATATATATATATATATATATGTCTATCTTATTTTATCTTCTCTAAAAGTTATTCAGCAAAATATGATGTGTGAATGGTTTAAAAATTCTTACACATAAATG